GGAGCTGTGCGTTCTTACCTCCAGGAGAGACAGCGAACACAGCCAGTGCTCCGGTCCCCAGCTCTACCTGCTGGGGACGGCACCGCTCCAGCGAGACGGCCACGGGACACTCGCCCACCCCAGCTCAGCTTAGCTGGCGTCCGGGCAGCGCACGCGGTGATTCAGCGCCTTTCCGCTGCGCGGTTACCACGGCGACGCGCACGCACGCGCAACATGCGCCGGGATGGGCCGGCAGGAGTAGCGCGCAGGTTAACTCCCACCCCGCGGGGAACCAGGACTCGGGACGCGGGAATGCGTGGTGACTTGCGCTCCCCCTCCTTTCTTCCATCTGCCTCTTGCTTGCCATTAGGTGCTAAAGGGTTTGGGGAATGAAAACTCTCTAAATATATGCCAGAATGGCTCAAGGGAACTGTGGGCACACTGAGCCAAGGACCCTTCACGAATGTGTCCCTTGGAGTCACCCCACCAGCTACACAACTCCTCCACTTTCCTTGGAGGCTCTTTGGACTTCACCAGATAACCATCTGGGAGCCTGAGCGGGGAGGGGTCCAGACCAACACCCAGGTCCACAAGTTACACGTGCGCCCAGGGCACTAGGACCGCGTGCGTCTTGGGGAAGTGAGAATCCCAACCCCAGAAAACCTGGAAGGTTCTTCCTCATATTTATGCAACTAGGAATGGCAATGAGGGGCGGGGCGGAAGGGGAAGCCAGGCCTTCCCTGAGCACGGCTTGTCCTACCTGTCACAGTAGCTACAGTGCAATGCCTGGGGCCAAGCTGAAAGAGAATTTCCCAACAGATGGATATTTTTAATAACAACAAAAAAATTACCGAATGGACAGCTATGAGTTAACTGTTCTAAAACAACTATGGGTTAACTAGATAATTACGCTTTGTAAGTTGCACCTGAGTAGCCATGATCTCTGTACTGCCACTGAAGGAGCATAACGAACTCAGAAAGCCCGGCCAGAACGCTTTGCTTTGGCCCCCCCTCTGCTGCTCTGCTTTGTGTAAACTGCTTGCTATATTCCCAAGAAAACTCCAATGGAATTATGCCTCATAGATGTAAAAAATGTTAAATAACTAACCAACCAAAGACTGACAAATACCCTGCTATTGTACCTCCTGCTTGCAACCCTATAAAACTGCCGGCCCACTGATATTCTGGACCTGACTTCTTTGGGGAAAGATCCTGGTCAGGTCCACTGGTGTAAATAAAGCTGTTTACTGCCTGCAAACCTCTGGGTGCCTTCTGTTTCCCGGTTCTGGTATCTGCAACAAAGCCAAACACTTTAGCCAAGAAGCCCCCACTAGGCCAGGCACTGGCTATGGAAGAGCCACAGACAAGTTAACAATCTTGCTAACTCTGCTTCCCGGGTTATAAAAAGGAGATAACAGCACCCACAATGACTGGGGGAATTAAATGAGATAATGAACACTGAAAGCGTTAAAAACCTGACCAAGGTGGAAAAAGTGAAAATCAGCCTGGCAAACTGAAGCCTGAGGCTGGTGAATCTGAGACCAGCCTGGCCTACGTGGAAAGACCTTATTTCAAAGGTAACCTTGCCATTGAACAGGCTGGGAAGACAAATACAAGAAAGACAGAAGTAAAGTTCACAGAAGACATGTTTTGAGGTAACAATCCTATCTGAATTCCTATGGCTTACTTCTCTGCCATTCTCATCAGTAACTGGTGATGCCCAATTGCTAAGCTCCCTCCATTTTCTAAGGGCAGCACTAACCCTTAGTTAATGCCCACTTCTCCCGCCAGGACTCTGGAAAGCAAACTAACTGGAGCCTATCCTAGATTCCAAGGCACTGAACTCCTTCCACAGGAGCCACGGCTTCCCGAGGACATTTCTTCCTCCCTTCCCGCAGGGCACTCCACAGTACAGCAGTGCATCAAGTCATGATGTCAGTTATGGTCCCCAGCAGGGCTCATCAGATGAGGAAATATATTAAGCCAGAAAGTTAAACTAGAACATTTTTAAATTCAGAGCCACTAAGGTGAACATTATTTTCATTTATGTGTGATGAATGTGTATGCATGTGAACAGAGACATTGTAAGGAAGAGTTAATCTATTCCTTATGACACAGATGCGAGGCCACTCTCACGTCTCCTTGGCATTCAGTAGACACTCATTCAACTCCTGCCTCATGCAGATGGATTCTAGGGATGAAGTGATTCATCTTCAGTGCAGTTTTCCTAGATTTGCTTACTCTTGTTGGCTGGGGTATTTGCACAATAAAAGATAAATGTCTTACTTTGAAAATAGGAGAAACTGAGGTTTAGCAAACTTAAAATATACTCCATATCGTGCCAAACTGCTTAGCAAAAAGAAAAAAGATGTTCAGAGTAATAAAAGGGTCCCACTGTAATAAGACTATGGGCTGGAATTTCACCAAAGTAAGGCAAACAAAGCTATTAGAATAGAAAACCTTAAAATCCAAGTTAAACACTCTTAAGATATTGCAAATTAAGTTCTTTGTTTGAAAACTACTGCCCATGGGAGCAGACTGAAAGTAGTCTGATTATTCCTATTCATTCCACTTGCGACTTCTTATGTTTTGTCATTATAAGCACTAAAAAAGATGGTATTTTAGGTGGATGCTGAGTTATATAAAGGAAATTATACCTTGTTTTAAAACAATTATCTTTTAATGCACCACACTGCGTATTTTTGTATATTTAGATATACACCTATCTAGATTATTTTTGTAATACAAGATGGGGCTCTAACTTAATTCTATCAAATGAATAAGGAATTTATTATCCCCAATCCATCCATTTTTCAGAAATGAACTACTGTGTCCATTCTGTATGCTATTAAAATATTTTGATTTTCACTTTTAATCATTAAAAGTATGACTAATATACCACAGTCACTAAAAGGGGAATATTATATATAAATTCAAATTGTCATTTGTAGGTAATTTTGGCACTACTGATTAAGTTTGTCACTTCTCGTTTTTCCCACTGGATTTCCTTTTTCTTTACTAAGGATAGTCTTGGTAATTCTTAGTGGGATGAAAAGCAACACAAAAAGCTGTTTTCTTACACACAGGGAAATAGGAGCAGTGGAGCTAGAAATAGGTAAAAATCTTAATTACATCACAGACATAAAACACACCCAATCTATAAACACACAAAACTCTTTATTTATAATGCATTTCTTTTGAGGGGAATTTTCTTCTTTAAAGCACATCTGAAAGTATTGTCTATAGAGGTAGGGTTATATAGCTCAGTGAAGTGCTCTTCCCTAGTATTGTGTGATACTAGGGAATGGATGTAAAGGCCTAATTTCCATGTCCAGAAACACACACACACACACACACACACACACACTCACAAACACATGCAAACTCACAAACAATATGACACAAAAGGGGAGGGGGAAATGAAAAACGTACTCTTTATTCACATCCTGTAAAATATTTTCATTTTACAAGTAGCAAACCTAAAAGGCTATTTATCCTTATGCATTTATTTTTCTCTTAAAAAAAAAAAAGTCCCATCTTGCTGTAAAACTGATTTTAATCATGATAAGCACAACTTTGGTTACATGGCCACCAAAATTAATAAAAAAAAAAAGTTTAGGAATTTTAAATCATAAGGTTTCATTTGTAGCTTCCTGATTATGCACTGTTGGATGATAAAATTAAATGTGTTGTAGGATCACTGTCATCTACTTAACTGCAAGTCATCATGGCTTTTTCATTTAGCTAAATTTCTGAAATACAACTGTGACTCAGTCCCAAGAACTCAGTAACCTTTTTTTCTTTTTCTTATTTATTTCTGGTACCGAGGATCCAACTTGTGTTTGTGAGGCAGGCAGCAGCACCACTGAGTTAAATCACAAGCTAGTTTGTTTTCTTTTGATGACATTTAAAATATTATTTTGGTGCCTGATTGAAAAAAGAAATGTTAGTACCCAGACAATGTGGGCCCTATCTGAAATCCAACTGGTAGTTTATAAGCTCCTAGCCTTTCATTAAAAGGGTTTCACATTCTGAACACACATACATATATGCCTTAGTTTAAAACACACTCTGGGCCTGGTGGTGCATGCCTATGATCCCATTACTCTGTGAGGCTAAGGCAGGAGGGTCTCAAGTTCAAACCCAAGCTGGGCAATTTAATGGACTCACCAATTCAAAAAATGTTTTTAAATTAAAAAAAACAAACAAACAAACAAAAAAACACTGATTCTGAATTCTGAGGGCACAATTTACAACATAAAATCATAACCATTTTTTCCTGTAATAATGACTCACTCTACAGTATTAATTTCTCCATATTAAATTGACCTTTCCAGATAGGTAGAAATTATATCTGCAAAATTCCATACAAAATATCGAAAACTCTTATTTGAAAAGTAGTCACAATATGACATCTAAGTTACACAGCAGACCCCAGTGATCACTGGGAAATCTACCACAGTCCAGTTTTTCCAACCCAAGCAGGTCCAAACTTCGGGGAATAATATGTCCCTCTTCTGCTGCTGCTCTGAAAAATATTCTATCAAAACGAAGCTTACAAGTAGCAGGTATTCCAAGATTAGAGTTCATCTGGGTGTCCCAAGTATACTGGCAATGCTCAGGTTTGCCCAAAAACTCCCAGACATCCAAAATGTTGTTGGGTAAACCACCACATTTAGTAACCTGAAAAGAAATATTTTAAAAGATGTATATAATCATTTTCTTCTAATTTAAACAGTATACTTGTTAATACTACATCCAACTGTAACATTTTAAACCAAAAGTCAAAAATAATACAAAAATGTTCTGCCTTGAATAGGTACTTAATTTGGAGTGTCAGATAAAACTCAGAAGACTCAACACTCAGTTTCAGTTAATACTTTTGTTTTATTGGGTTTTTTTGTTTTGTTTTTCGGTACCAGGATTGAACTCGGGACCTTGCACTTGATAGGCAGGCGCCAGCACCACTGACCTAAATACCCGGCCCTAATGCTTTGTTTTTAAAAATTGAACTGATACAAAAAGAGAAAAAACTAGTCTACTAATTTAGATAATTGGCATTTATATGCTCCAGTAATATTAACGGCCTTCATGGTTTTATTTTAAATGTATTAACAATATTAATTATTCTTTCTCCTCTTCATATCTCAAGATTTAAAATTTTTTGCTAAGCTCATGGTAGGGTCTATGCTTACCATGTGGGAGGCCCTGGGTTGCTTGTACTCCTGGCTTTTGTGAATAACACTGCTGTGAGGTGGGTGTACAGATGTTTGTCAAGTTCTTGCTTTCATTTTTCATAAGTATATACCTAGGAGTGGAACTGCTAGATCATATGGTAATACTACGGTTAATGTTTTGAAGTCCTAAAAAAACATTCCACTGTGTCCCAATGGAATTAAGAGGAAAGAGACTTTGTTTCAGATCTGGCCATTGTGGAAGAAGCAAAAGAGGGTAAGAGACTGATAAATTATTATGACCCATCAACATGGATCTTGTGTAGAGAATATATCACTACATTCTGTTAATCATTAGTGTGACTGCATTTTTTTGTGATTACTAAAATCTCACATTTAAAGCTTTAAAAAAAGAGTTGGCACTGGAGGATACTGCTCAGTGCTACAGCTTTTGCCTAGCATCCACCAGGCCCTAGGTGTACACCTAATACTGCCCCATTCAAAGTTAATAAAATCCAAAAAAGAATCACAGAAGAGTGAATGCTAGGGACAACTAACATCTTTCTCACCTTGCAATTAGGGCTTCTGCAAAAAAATTCAGTTTCAATCTTTTTTAAACTCTTCTAATCATTAGTTTCTCTATATGCCTCTTATTAGCACAACATATACATTATTTTACATTACCTATTTCATACAGAGTATGTGTTTTTGCTCAGTAATGAAGAGACTCTCCTGCCCCTTGAAACACAGCAAAAGCTAAGATATCTGTTACTCGCACATTCAAGGTCACTTAGACATTCTGAGTGACAAAAAGTCCCAGTGTTAACAGCTTTGATTAAAGGAAACTAAACTCTTCTCTACATCTTCACACACTTAGTGGACAGACTTTGATACTCACTTCTTTATCCCTTAGATTTGTATCTCCTGCAAATATAACTGTAGCCAACTCTGGAGCCTCTTGTATTTTCTGTAACACCAGTTTTAACTGATTCATTCGTTCCTCAGCATGTCCTCTGGTGCTCTCCAAATGGGAAGTCATAAGGCAAAGTTCATTTCCAGACAAACTCACCTGCAACAGGATAATTAAGTTGTCACTGACTACTAATGGTGAACTCTGATGACACAATCAGCAGCCTTTTCAAGCATCAACTGATACATTTCTGAAACTGTAATCTTAGCACTACCCCACCTCCAGATCAAAAAAGAAATGTAAGGTGCTAACCCTGCCTGCAAAGACTGCTAGGCAAACATGACTCACTCCCCATGTCACCTCTTCTGTGATTCCTTCCCCCATTTCTCCAAAGCCACAAACAGCTTATTCCTTTAGAATCCTACTGCATGCCAGACAGACTGCTGTTAAGGCCCCAAACTGAAGTAAAAGCACAGGTATTTCCCTCCCATGAAGCTATAAGTCACTTGTAAACTCAGATCATTTTCATTTATTGCTGTATGGGTACTCAAAAATTGTTAGTTAATGGAATGAATGAGAATCGCTTACCATATTGATAACGACACTAACACAGGATCTGTCTTCATACTGTCTGCAGAACTGAGTCCAATTCTTTCACACTGGACATTCATGCTCTTCTATAATCTGGATCCTGTCTACTTCTCAACCTCCTGTCACACTACCTCCTTCAAAACCTCCACACACACCGAACAGAAAGCTCACTCATGCCCATGCATACATACCTCCTGTGACTTGCAGAACTTTCTTTGCTCATGATGGTTTCTCTACTTGACTCTTCATGTCTACAGCATATGTATTTTTCAGAGGTGTATATTTCAATTCAAATACCACTTCCTTCACAAAATCCTCACTAAATAATCATCGCAAACACCTCTGTCCAAACTTCCAGAGTATTACTTATAACTGCACTTATGCCTTTCCTTTATTTTAGTTACTATCTACACCATCTCTCCCTTATTAAACTGTTTGAAAACAAGACCTATTTTGATTCAGTTTCATAAGCCTTACAGAGTACAACACAGTACCATGAATAAGTACTGCGGAGAAAGTAAAAAGTATTACTGAGGAAGCAAATGTGGAATATCTGCAAACTCAAATATTTTTAGGAAAACAAAATATTCTTAGGAAAATACCTAATACATTAAAAATTCTATTTTAAAAAGTTAGTCCATATTCAAAATTTATACAGAAATCCAACAAAGTTCTTTAAGACTATTTAAAAGAATGTACATATAAGGAACAAATTTTTCTCAAAAGACAATTTTCTTTTAAAAGATAACACCATGGGATAATTTTAAAAGTCTGCTTTTTAAAAATTCAAATGTACATTACTTACATGCACACACAAAAGGTTCCTCATCATTTTAGTACTTGGAAAAGGAATGATCTCTTGGCTTTTTAATTTCACTCTTGATTTCTTCAACATTATAGCTGTGAAATATCCTTCTTCATGACCTTCAAATGTTTGGGGAAAAGAATTTAGGCTGAGGTCAAAAGTACTTTCAATTTTCCACAAGCTCTCCTACCTAAAGATGTTATAACAAACAGGTAACAGATACTTAAATGGATATTCATCCTTAAACTATTATTTCAAAATGTGGTCAACATGGTCAATTAAGTCTATGTACTTACCTGCACTCTCCCCAAGTTTAAGCAGAAATATACAAGAAATATAAAAATAAATGAGGCTGGGAGTGTTTGTTTAGCAAATGTAAGGCCCTGGACTCAAACCCTTGCACCACAAAATTTAATAAAAAAGTGCAGAGGTGGGTACAGATAGGCACATATAGTAAATTTGCGGCCAATATCAAATAAGAAAATTTGAGAAATTTCTGGACAAGATGACCAGGAAAATTAAACTGAAGCAAAACAATAGGCACTTACTTGTCATGCTAGAAGAAAAATCTCAAGAAATGAATAAAAAAATTAGAAAGATATAAACCTGCAAGAAGAAAAAAAGAAGACAGGTATGGTGGTACATGCCTGTAATCCCAGCACTCGGGAGGCTAAGGCAGGAGGAAGAGAGTTTGAGGACAGCCTGGGCTACATATCAAGTTCAAAGCCAGCCTGAACTACACAGTGAGACCCCAGCTGCCAGGAGGGGTATGTGATAAAGATGGATAGAAGGAAAGTGGATTGAGGTTGGGACTGCAAAAAGGGTTAAGTAAAAGAATGTGTCTACTCAGGATGGAGCATAAGCTGCTTCCTTCTGCAGCATACTACCAGTAGGCAGGCAGCACAGGCACACTGCCATCACTCAGGAGACAGAGTTCCATCATTTTTTTAAACAGTTTTTTTTTGTTGTTGTTTTGGGTTTTTTTGGTCCCGGGGATCAAACTCTGGACTTTGCACTTGCGAGGCAGGCTCGGTGCTACTGAGATAAATCCCTGGCCCTGTATTTTAATTTTTGAATTGGGGTCTTGCTATGTTGACCAGGCTTATCACAATTCATGGTCTCAAGCAATTTTCTCACCCCAGTATCCAGTATAGCTAGGCTCCACCAGGCCTGACTTAAGAAATCTTTATTAGAAAACAGTCCTCAGATGAAAGGTTTCTATATACTAACATAATGACAACTGCCCCTTCCCCATTAAACAAACAACTGGCTTCATAATCAATCCTTCACTTACTTCTAGTACGGTGCACTAGCTAACCTTGCTCAGAATCAGTGTTTTAGTACCAGATAATGAAATGTGAAGCCAGAGCCAAAGATCCCTATACATCTTAGGAGCATGGCTAAGGTGACATGCCAGACACCATCATAACAGAAAACAAAAAGAAGAAGAAAATATGAAAGTTAAAAGTACTAATGAGGAAGGTCTCTATTTGAGAGGGATTCTAGAAAAGGGGAAGGGAAGTGACTACCTAGAAATCTAGATCCATTCAAAACTACCAACTGTGAGGCTAGAACACAGGTGTTTTCAAATATGATAGGATTAAAAACTTTATTACTCATTGAATATGCCTTATAACATAATTAGAAAATGGACTCCAATAAAATGAGACAGTAACCCCAGAATAAAACATGGGACTCTGAAAACAAATCCAAAATAAAAGGGATCCCCAAAAGCATGCATAAAGGTGGCACACAGAGAGCGACACAGAGATTGAGAGCCCTCTTGTGACAAACCACTTCCAGAGTAAACCAAAATTAAAAATCACAAACTGTGTAACAGTAAGTCAAGGAAAACAATATATATAAAAATAATTTGAGCAAAATGCTACTTTGAATGTACTTAGGAAAGACAAATGGAAAATTTAAATATTATTCAGGGAAAAAAGGTGAAAAAAGAAAAACGATGAATTAAAAGGAATTCATAAAGACTATTTATTTATTTATTTAGTACATGGAATTGAACTTGGAACCTTGTACTTGCAAGGCAGGTGGCATAACCACTGAGCTAAATTCCCAGCCAAATAAAGCTGCATGGATTTCTTTGGAAAAAAATAAATGTTGAAATAAAAAAGCATAACCAGGATGTGATTATCACACTTAAAAAAATTTGTAACAACTGAGCTAGGGGTATAGCTCAGTGGCACAGCACATGCTTGGCATGCACACGTCCTGGGTTGGATCTCTAGCACAAGAAAAGAAAATGAAATATTGAATTTCACCAAAAAGCTAGTCAATATCTGATTTCATAATATTCTCTTACAATTTTTTTTTTTTTTAGTATTAGGTATTGAACCCAGGGTCTTCACACTGAGCTACATCTCAGCGCCCACCCCCCTTTTTTAAATTTTAAGATAGGGCCTAAGTCACCAAGCTGCCCAGGCTGGGCTTAAATTTGAGATCCGCTAGCTTCAGGCTCCCAGATGGCTAGAATAACAAGTGTGTTCCACCATATGCAGCTTCTCGTATAATTCTTTCAGTATCCTGTGCCTTATTTTTCTCAAACTTATTTGTACTTTTCTTTTCTATATACTCTAACCGGCAAGTTCCTAAGTTATCTCTTTCACTGGTTTGCTTTTTTAAAGAGTTAAATAGGGGCTGGGGATTTAGCTTAGCAGCATAGAGCCTGCCTGGCAAGCGTGAGGTCCTGAGTTTAACCCCTGGTACCAAAAACAACCACCACCACAACAAAGACAAGTTAAATAACAGGAAAGTACTACCTGTAATAATCTCATAGCTCCTTGCTCTCTTCTTTAGGTAGCTATAATAAGGTGGAATAACTTCCTGCAGAAATACCACATCTGGATTGTACCTAAAAATATTAATTTAACATAAATACAAGGTATATACCATTTCATTTCCAGCTACCTTGATGAGAAATTCCACAACATACAAGAAATACAAAGCTATCACTCCCTATGGCACCTAAACTTTATACTTGTTACTTTATTAATAATACAATATATTATTACTATTGGTAACAAAATAAGAAAGAAAGATCTGTACTCTTTAACAGATAGTACTATAATGATAAAATTAAAAAGAACTGCAGGGCCAAGGTGTAGCTCAGTGGTAGAGCACTTGTGTGAAATGCTAGCATGTGCAAAGCCCTGAGTTGGATGCCAGCAACACAAAAACAAAACAACACTGTAAAGAATGAAAACAGAAAGCACTCTTCTCAGAGACAACAGAACTATACTTGAATAGATGCTTTCAATGTCATTTCTTTGGATCATCTTAAAGGTTATTATCCACAGTGAAAATGGCTTCAGAGAACTGAAGTACTTTGACCAAGGTCACAGAGCTAGAATGGGGCAGAAACAGATCTTTCTGGTCATTTCATGGCATTAATTACACACAAAGCTTAGTATTATCTTAAAGTGCTTCTAACAAATACTGATCTTCCCCCTCCGTGCCAATTCTCAGAGATAATCAATCACCTCAACTTCTTCAGGTGTTTCTTCTCAGAGCTGGATTTTGAACCTAATTATAAAGTCCACAATCTTACATGGTTATTTTGTAGATACATAAGACACATTATCACAATAAAGTATTAAACAGAAGCAACACCACTTACAAAGCTAAATAGGAACACACTCCTCGAGCCCTTTCTTGTAGACTGTTTAGATCCAATCCATCAATATTCCACGTGATGAAAGAGAACATGCTCCCATCTTCTTGCTTAGTGTTTTCAAATGAGCAGATTTTAGAACTACTGGAGTCAGCTGTTTCTTCACTAGTTAGGTCAACACTGGTAAGATCGGGATAAAACAACTTCACAAATATTACAAACTGATTAAGAATTATTTTGTATTTGTAGTCAATTTGCACGTACAGATTAAGCATGCCAATCGAAAATCAAAATGCCCGCTAAACTGAAATATTTATGGTCCCAAGCACTTCAGATAAGGGATACTGAATCTGTAAATAAATTTTAAAAGATTCTTAGAGAGCAAAAGTCATACGTATAAGGAAAAGTAAGAATATCGCTGTTACCCAAATGTCTGTTCACTTACAGATAGAGCAGAAAAGCCTCAGGAAAGGTTATTTTTTAAAAAGACCCCCCCAATCCCCATAGTTTTAAAATATAGCCAAGATTCACCAACTGCTTTAAGATTTCCCTTGTCTCCTGAGAGACACTTAACACAGATTCCAATGCAGATAGCTAAACTACTTTAATGTTTAATTTCATTTTTTGCTAATAGCCTGGAAATTTACTAAAGAACTAAGATTCACAGCCCTACTCAGTCAAAGCTCCTCCCCATCAGCCTTCAGTTTTTCTAGTCATAAAATCATCCTATCAATGTCCTTTTTCCATTTTTACATTTTACTTACATTTTTGTTAAAGGCAACATCAAAAAATCTAATCAGGTCACGTTCCACAAATATGAAGGCCTTAGAAACACCCTGAAGCTTTTTTCTCTCCTTAGTGAACTAAAGTTTATCATCTTTTTTTCTTTTCAGTAATGAGGATTAAACCCAGGGGATGCTGAGCTACATCCCTACCCCTTTTTCTCATTTTCATTCTGAGACAGAGTATTACTAAATTACCCATGCTGGCCTTGAACTTTCAATCCTCCTATCTCAGCCTCTAGCTGGGATTAGATTACAGGCCTGTGGCAACCACCACAGCTAGTGGCTTTTGATCTGAGTTCTGAGAGACAACAGACCATAGTCTAAACCACCATCTAATTTGTTTTTGCCAATTTACCATTTTGAAGTAAGGGATTCCTGACTGTCCCCTATGTTACCATTCCTCAGCTTGGTACATTTTTTCTGAAGATCTATTTCAGGGAATCCATTCTCTTCACTCTAATTTATCAGTTATAATTTAGTCAGCTTCAACTTTGAACCACTGTTCTTGGCTCCTCCATGCACAAAAAAAGGATGGATATGGAGCTAGACTTGCGCTTAGTTAACAGATTACAATTCTAGCTCCACAGGAAGATGCACACTTGACGCTCTGAAATCCCAGGAAAGAGGATCTGACTAGTTTGGGCTGGGTAAACACTTCCTTGATCAATTGCTTTTTGACTATTACAAGGGAGGAAGCCAACAAGAAGCTAAGCAAAGAAGAAACCTAATGAAAAATGATCTTATCACATCCATAAGCCCGTGAAAAGGTCAAAGGGAGAAAAAAGACTCCACCACGAAAAGCTCTCACTGCCAGAACTTTGATACATTCAGAAAACACTGAGAACTTATAAGTGCAAAACATTGTATGAGACTTCAGGAAATCAACAATGTACAAAACAAGTTGTCTTTATGGAGCGTGTAGTCTAGCAGAAGATAAAAACACTGAGGGACAACGAGTGTGCAGACTACATTGTTAAGACAAGGATCATGCAAGATGCTATACAAATAACTCAAAATGCAACCTTACCTACTCAGGACATTAGGGAAAACTTATTGGAGATAGCATGACTAAGCTGAGGCCTTTCAAATACTAGTTAGCAAGCAAAGAGAAAGAAAATGTTCCAAACAGAGGTGATAATAGCAAGCAAAAATGGCTCAGGAAGTGAAAGTCTGGCATGTCTCGGGTACTAAAGGAAGAGTGGGAGGATATGACCCTGGTTAAATAGGCAGAGACCAAACGGTAGAGTCTTGCAGGCATCCGGACTTTAAGAACAGTGCAGGAACTAGGGCAGGGCACTGAAATGACAACAGCATGTCTGAATTTTAAAAGGAAAAACAAAACAAACAAAACAAAAACAAAACACCTTGTTCTGGCTGGCTGGAGGAAAGCAAATAATCACAACAGGAGACAAGATGTCCAAGTTACTATTCGTCAACAGAGGATTTTTCTCATTTGTTTCAAAACTCTGGCTTATGTCTCCAATAATTCGAGTCAAAAAGACTGGAAATGGGAGAGAGATGTGGGGAGCAGATAAGGGGGAAAGGGAGAGGAATGTAGAAATGATGATGAAGCAATACGTCTAAGTACCAACATAAACGAACAGATACACGGCAGATTTTCCTCCCAGTCTCCAACTCCCGGTCCAAATGCGCTCCCGACTCCGGAGGGAAGCTTGGTCTGGCCGCGGCGCGCCCTGCACCTGGAGCGC